ACACTTATGCTTCTATTTTATTAGTTAGAATTTAGTCATGTGGCCACATCATGTAAGTGTACAGGCTTGGCTGGGAAAAGTAGTCTTTTTCTGGATAGTAATGTGTAACAGTAAAAACATTTAATAAGCAACTGATAGTCACTGTCGCAGACAGGGAATAACAAAATGAATGATGTCTTTAATGATAGTTTTACAGAAAATTCAAATATGGCATTTATAGAAATGTGTTACCAGAGGCAAGAGAACAGAGTCCTGTGGCCACAAAATATTGGTGCATCTGTACTATTTTACTTAGCTCAGGTCTTGGGCATTTCTCCAGGAGAAGTAAATGCTGAAGCTCCAGAGAAGTAATTACGTATTTAACATGTTGGCTCTAGTTCACTTCCCTAGGGACCAACCAGCTTTTAAAACATGAAGTTCTAATAAGGAAAACATAAATCCAGTTCTTACCCGTGAGATGTAACTGATTCATAGTCTTATATTCTTTTGGCCTTCTAATAGGCAGTAGCTACATAAAACTTTTGCCTGTGGTTTCTGTAATAATTTAATTGTGGGGAAAGTGCGTTGTCCAAAGCAAATATGTAATCCAGATGTCAGGAGTTCCCCCTAACCCTTTAGGTCTAATGAAGATTAATTTGAGCCCCATTGCCTGGACTGTGGAAGACCAGAGCGCTTTCCAAGATTACAATGAGCTTCAGAGGGACTCAGGTTCTTATGGTCACCTCTGGTTCTGAACACCTGCCTGTGTAAATTGTCTGGGTTTTTTTTTTGTTGTTTTTGTTTTTTGTTTTTTTTTGAAATAGAGTTTCGCTCTTGTTGACCAGGCAATGGCGTGATCTCAGCTCACTGCCTCCCTGGTTCAAGTGATTCTCCTGCCTCAGCCTCCCAAGTAGCTGGGATTACAGGCATATGCCACTATGCCTGGCTAATTTTGTATTTTAAGTAGAGACGGGGTTTCTCCATGTTGGTCAGGCTGGTCTCGAACTCCTGACCTCAGGTGATCTGTCTGCCTTGGCCTCCCAAAGTGCTGGGATTACAGGCATGAGCCACCGTGCCTGGCCCAAGTTGTCTGTTTTTATAGATTAACTTGCTCATGTTGTTCCTCTTCCATACTGTGTGGAGGCTGAGGTAAGACCTGGATATTTTTCTTATTTTCCATACACATAAAAATGCAAATCAAAAGAAAATCTATAACAAAACCAGAAACCTCCCATACAAGGTAATTTAGTGTGGGTCAAAGACTTTCCTGAAATATGTCAGAGTAGAAAAGTACACAGACCAATTTAAACAGTAGACGTATTTTGGATAAAATGTCCTTTAGCCACCATGCCATTGGAGACATTTTCTTGGCAGCTTTATTCCCATTTTTGCTTTTGCTAATCCCTTCTTATATGGTTTGGCTGTGTCCCCATCCAAATCTCATCTTGAATTGTAGTTCCCATAAAATCCCCACGTGTTGTGAGAGGGACACAGTGGGAAGTAATTGGATAATGAAGGCACTTACCCCAGTGCTGCTGTTCTTGTGATCGTTAGTTCTCACGAGATCTGATGGTTTTATAAGGGGCTTCCCTGTATCCACCTCGTTCTGCACTTCTTGCTGCAGATGTGGTGAAGGATGTGTTCGCTTCCCTTTCCACCATGATTGTAACTTCTCTGAGTCCCCCCCAGCCACACTGAACTGTGAGTCAATTAAACCTTTGTTATGATTAAAGGCAGCCAGGTTTTGTTGATGTCTTTCCTACATTGAACTACCTTTGATCTATGGCCTGCTTTTAGGATTTTAGCAGTGAAAATGAGAGCCCTTAGGAGGCTGAAATTAGATTATGAATGTAAAAGACAAATCACAGTGCCTGCAAATAAGTGCACGGTAGTTATTTAATAAGTGTTAGGTATTATTACTAAACAATCTTCAATCGATACTGCTTTTCTCATTGAGATAAATGTTGAGTCTGTCTATTCTTCTGGTGCAGAGTAGTTTTAATTTGAATACAGAGACCTCCAGAATCTGGATTTGGGGACTGAGCCTAAGTCAGGAGTTATGGTCGGCTGGTTCTCAGGACGTGTCAGTTCTTGAGGTGATTTTGTAGGAACACTGGACTGCTGGTTCTCTGTTACTGTAATTCAGTTTTGAAAATGCAGCAGCTAGTCATTTAAGAATCAACCAGGTGAGCACTGACCGTAGTCAATTAACTAATGTAGCAAGAGGGAAAGGTGATAACTCTCTTTTAAAGTGTCTAATATCTGACTAAGCTGATCTGACTAACGATAATTTATTTTGAGCTTCATAACCCAAATGAACAATAAAAAGTTACAACCAGCCAACATCTTCAAAATGTCTTTCCCTCTGTATCTTCACTTCTGCCTTTCAAACCTTATCTCTTACTCTATTCACTAACTTCCTCTCTTAAACTGCCTTAGTTTTCCCGCCTTCTGCCTTTATTATTCTTCTGCCTCTTTCGATCCCTTGCTTTAAGTTATGATTTAAGAACTATAGTACTTTCCTTTTGCTTAGAATTTATTGCACATACTCAATAAATGACCAATTTCACTTTTAAAAGTAGGTAGATTGAATATTTTCCTCTGTAAATAAAGCAAATTGTCTTGTTATTTTTTGCACTCAATTGATTCTCCTCATACAATATTATTTCTTAATTGAAAATGGGTTATTCCAATGGGTCCAAATGTTTTTCCTCCAGGCTGTGTATTGTTATCTCCCTATAGTTTCTCAAGTTATTTAACTACCGTTTCCTGAAAAGTACTTATATGTTGGCCACCGAGACAGATGCTGTAGATTAAATTAGATTTGGCTCCCTTCCTCAAGGATCATGTAATATACATGGAAAACAAGACATAAAATACTCAATACACAATTGAAAATACTGGTTCAAGACATTATATGTAAACTCCCTACTGTATGTCCTATTAAGAGGTTTAAAACTTAAATCTGCCAGACCCAGGTTAGTGATACAGTTATATTGTCTCTAATTTCCTAACAGCAGACTAAATTATGATAAAAGGCACTTCCCAGTGCTTTTTACAAGAAAAGCAAAACATGGATTTGTTTTCTTTTAGAATTAAATCTGTAAGGATGGCACAGCCATAAGTCCTATTAAGTAGCAATATTTTCTCTTTTCTGAAGATTATTGCAGTAGATTTTGCCCCATATTCTAGATTCACTATCTCTGGCACTCACTCAAAATAGAATATCATTTAAAAGAAAGGCATTTCTTTCCATATATATATGACTAATATTTCTTTTAAAATGTCAGTTTAGATGTAATAGTCAAGTCCCTGGTCTCAATTAGGCGAACGTAGTCGGATTCTCTATAAAAGGAACTGAAGACAGAAAAAGTAGCTACTTTTTTTTTTTTAATGGAAGAAGGAGAAAAAAATACTTTCTTAGGTTACTCACTGGTTGTCTGGGATGGGTAATAAATTATGTAGCCTCAAGAAGTCTTAACTATCTAGAAGAAAGCATCCCTCTTACTGACATCTTGCGGGTAGATGAGAGAGGCTGACCACTTTCACCCTGAAGATGATATGTGTTTTTAACTCACATTTGCACCTGAGAGGCTCACAGATCTGTGGCCTCACCTGAGGTCACAGGTCAGTGTGGAGAGGGCCAATAAGGATAGATCAACTTTCATACGTCTTTCATATATCCACTTGGATTTCTATTTATTCTATAAGAGCAATTGATTTCTATATGGAGGCAGGGGCAATATTACAGGGTAGGAGAAGTCATTGTTTGTATATCACCAGCAGTTCTCAAAATTAGTGATTCCCTGATTTGCTTAACAAAAGGCAGATTCCCAGAGCATTTGAACTACCTTGGGCATAAGGAGAGAGGGGGTTGGGTAGGGGTGGGGCAAATGGAAAGTTAGAGATTATAGGCGTTTGACACGTTAAGAAAGATGGTGCAGTAAAATGAAATGGCATGAGGAAGAGAATACTGGCTTGACTAAAAAGAGAAAATAACAGAATTTCAGGACCTCTGGTGTAGGGGAGAGCTAGATTTTTGAAGGAGCTTGAAACTAAATGAGAATCTATTGTTTAGTAGGCTTGAGATGTTTCTGATTTTGAAGTGTGCGTGTGTGTGTGTGTGTGTGTGTGTGTGTGTGTGTGTAAATGGTAATCAATGCATATTTTCAAATGTTTTCGAGACTTACAAAGATATACAGTAAAAGTGCTCCTATAATCACTGCCTCTTAAACCACCCAATCCCAATCTTGGAGGCAACTGATATTACCAGTTTTTTTGTGTGTCCTTCCAAAGATGTTTTATGCATGTATAATGTGACTGTTTTTATTCTCTTCCTTTGCTAATATGGAGGAAAGCTTTTTGAGAGTCACATGCTTTGAATAAGAGAGAAGCTCCAGAGCATTAGAACTGACCAGAATGCCAACTCATTTTCTTGAGAGAGAAGAAAAAGAAAACAGAAAAATAATCTGCTGAAAATGGTGCAATACATACAATAGGTTGAATGAGGGTGACTTTTAGATGTCCTTATTTATTTGTATTATGGAATATATTAGGTATTTATTTGTATTATGGAATATATTAGGGTATTGTGCCCTGCCTCATGTTACTGGACATATATTAAAATAGAGGAGGTATAACTTACGAAGGGAGTACTATCTGAATGGCAAGGTAACCTGAGTAAAGGAGGACTGTCCTTTAGAGCTCTGTCACATTATAGTTTAGGTAGGTTTTTCAAGATTTATTATGCAATATTCATTTTCAGGGCTTCAGGAATTTCAAAGTTATACCTAGAAAGAAGAAGTGAATGTCTTCGACCTATTGAGTTCTTACTATCTCTGGTTATGACATAGCCTGTTTTCCTCTTAAATTCCATCTCCTCAAGGACAGAAACTATGCTTTATTTATCCTTCTATTTTCTACTTAGTCTAGTGATTCGAATGTGGTAGATACTCTATAAATATGTGATGGATGGATGACTAAATGAATACATTTCTAAATAATCAGCCAAGCCACCAATCTATGGCTTAATTTCTTTACTTTCCAACAGTGAGTATTTTCATTTCAGCTTTAATTAAAATATGGAAAAAGGCATAATCATTCAGTTTTTAGTATTGTTCTGTGGCAACATTTCATGAAATTCCAGGTGGCCATTCTTATGTGAGTTTTGCTAGATTAACATGTTAATGAAGAAATATTTATATCTTAAAATTCTATTTTTTTCTGTTTTATCTTCAGTTTCCAAAAAGGGCAAAATATCTGTGTATCTGGAATAAAAGACAAATTTAAAAAAATAATTCAGCAAGGATCAACAATTTTTAAACATAAATTTTAGCACTAGAGGGGTGATAAAATCAATCATTTCAAATGTGCTGTATGAGGGGGTTCGATTTAATTAATTAATTTACTTAAAAGGTGACCTAATCTGCACAATTGGAATATCAATAAAAACACAGCTTTTACATATAAAACAAACTCTGAAAGGATTTCCATTATTATGATTGCTAAAACAACAACAAAAACAAAAAACATGCTTTGCACAGCTTTGTTATCAGGAGCCTTTGCATTTGACATTTTGGAAGCAAGAAAAGGGAATGGCTTGACAAGTTGAAAAGCCAATTCATCATGATGTCTGACATTTGGGAACTGATATTATAGTCTGCAATTTAAAATTCAGAATTGATAAAGTGCAATCATGTAATATAACCCAGCAAACAAAGGGTCTTATTGAAATGTATGTACTCTGGGAAAACAACATCGAGTCACAAAAACTTGATGGTTACGAATTTGAATGTTTATTCTTCCTCCTCTCATTCCCCATTTCTACAAAATAGTGAGTTTCTACCTTCTGCAAAAAACAAAATTGTCCATACAAAAAACCTGGTTTTATACAGGGGGATTTATGAAGGGGGATTTTATATAGTGGATTTAAAAGTACACTATATGACCTTTCTCTTCATGGTTCAGAGACTTCTCTTAAACGTGTATCATGTGATGTTTGTTGACAATTTCTTGACTTTATTTCTAATCAAAATATGAAGGCACATGAAAATATGTTCAACACCACTATGGAGATTCTGTTTACGACACCAGTAATAGTTCTTACGCTGCTATGTGCTTATACATAAGGTTTACTGGTTAGGGGTTCCTATCTGGTAACATTAGCAGGCATTTTTGGGAGCATTTACATCAGAACATACCCAGTTGGAGAAATTCTTTAGCAACTACAGCCTCAAAAGTCACAGAAGGTGCCTCTCAGTGCTCAGATGATCTCCTGTCCTTGAATCTGATCCTCCACTTTCCTTTTCATCAAAGGAATCAGCATTAAGATTGGGAAATGGGCATCAGTGATTTTACGTTCCTTTTTGTCATTGTCTGGCATTGATGATTCTGCTGCTCTCTCAAAGTTTGGCTTGCTTCGTGTACTGTGTCCAGATTTCTTGCAGTTACTCTTGGATCAACAAAACAAAATATTCCTTTTATTCCTTTCTTACAAAAACACTGCAAGAAAAAGCACCTAGTGATTTGTACAATTGACAACTGCAACCATTGCTCTAGGGCAGAGTGAGGAGAACTCATATTCTCTCTAACATAACCTAGAAGTGCCTGTTCATCTACCTTATGACTGAGGCATGCATTTCATTGCTGCTCTGTGATCTCATTCAGAGGAGAGATAGCTGCTGCATTTGCAATTGATATATAAAAATAGTTGGTTGCACTAGACACTATCTGACGTCAATGGAAACATTAAAAAGCAGTGACCAGTCTGCAGAAAGTCTTGGTTGAAGCTAGTGCAGCTCAGTCTGCAGATATTTAAGCTATACCATTTTTTCCTTTTGACAAACAGCCATCTTTTCCTATTGTAAGGTAATTTTCATCAATCATTTAGCAAATTTGTGGTCAAAGTCCAAGCTCTTTTTCACTACACCATAGTGCATAATTCTGTGTTAAAGGTTAGCCACATTTGAGAATGATTCCTATTTGTGGATATGGTAGGAATGGATTTATGAGTACCCTTGGAAATTTCTCAGTAGAATCCTATGTAATCTGAAGCCCACGAACTGATTTTTACTATATTAGCTTCCACCACAGGCTTTTCTAAAGGTAACTGATGCAGAAAGCCATTGGACTCTTAATAGTGACCAATATAGTGCTGAGGTCCACTTGCAAAATTTTTCTAGGATATGGAGCTTACACCAGGAACCAGATATGAGTATAAAAATGCCAGACAGAGTGAGGCTCACGAGTCTGCCAAATCTGTTACTCCGTAAAATGTTCTGCTGCCCTTCCTCCAGTATGAAGTCTCTTCCCCATTCCTCACTATTAAGCTAAATTTGATTCTGCAAATGACCCTAAGTCTTGCCTGACCACTCTGGCATATTATCTTTCCCCTTCCTCATCAGACCACTCCAGTTCTTGGTCATTGATCTAGCTGAAACCGTCATCAGCTTTCTCTTACTTGCACTTTCCCAAAAGAAGGCCTGCCTGACCCCTGTTCATGCCATCTTTCAACACACCTTAGTTGCAATTTTTCTTTTTTTTGAGACGGAGTCTCGCTGTGTCACCCAGGCTGGAGTGCAGTGGTGCAAACTCTGCCCACTGCAACCTCCACCTCCCAGGTTCAAGCGATTTTCTTATGTCAGCCTTCCGAGTAGCTGAAATTACAGGCATGCGCCAGCATACCTGGCTGATATTTTTATTTTTAGTAGACATAGGGTTTCAGCATGTTGGCCAGGCTGATCTCAAACTCCTGACCTCAAGTGATCCACCTGCCTCGGTCTCCCAAAATGCTGGGATTACAGGCGTGAGCCACTGTGCCTGGCTGTAATCTTTCTAAAATACCAATCTGATTATGTTAGCCCCTGGCTTGACAACTGTCAATGTCTCCCTGGGTGAGAGCTCCCCTACCTCTATGTCTTTTAACCAGGCCAACTCATCCATATCCTAGCCAGAGTCCAACTAAACAAATCTTTGGTCTTTTAGGCCTTAGAATTGTTGATTTTTTATTCTCCCCTTATTTTTGTTATCCAATCATTCCTGCAAACACTTGCCTTGTGTTACTCTTCCCTTTCACCCCTCATCCTTGACAGATTTAGCTATCTTACTGTTGGGCAGTTGTGTTCTCTTTTAAACATAGTTTCTACTAGTCCTATGAATGCTCAGATAACCACTCTGCTTCACCAGTATCCACACCTGGGTTTCATCCTGGAACGCGATTTACCACCTTCTTGGAAACGAATCAGGTACTCTCGCATTATGTACAGAATAAAACCCATGGCACAATACACAAAACCCCAACCCACCGTTCCAGACTCTTCTTCCACCAATTCCCACCATACACCTATATAGCAGCCACATAGCCCACCACAATCTTTCATTCTTTCATTCTTTCATCATTGTGCCATGCTATGTCATATCTTGAAAACACTTCCACTATTCTCTATTTGACCCATTAATCACTGAATATCAAACTTAATTGTCATCACCTCCAACCAATTTAATTGATTCAGTGTATATGGTCCCATGAAAATGCATACTTATCTCTAGCACACATGCTTTGTAACAGCTTTATGTTCATCTGTTTTCTTTCCTAAAACTTGACTTTCCGTAATGAAAAACTTGACTTTCATTATGGAAAGTCAAGTTGTATATCTTTATATCCCTAGCACACCATAGAATCTGTCAAATGATGGTTCGTTAACAAAGTGTTTGTTGATTGAACAAATAACCTACACCATATATTTGAGCATATCTTGATTTTTTTACTTGTATTGTCCAATAATTAAGTATATGTCATCTATGCATTGCCTCTGATTACTCACAAGCATGATGTGCTGCAGGTATTATTTTAAATTACGTATATACTACCTTGGTCAGTGTCCAGAATTTATGTTTGATGAATAACCTTTTTGGTATCATCTTCTGGTTTCTGTTTTACCTATAATATTTTCATTTATTAATATTTCCTTTTAAACTTAAAATTCTAGGCTTTATAATTTCTTAGAAAGGCACTTAGATGATGGAGGATTAAAGTTTGTTAGGCCAGTTAACCCGAAGGCCCAGGTGGAGGAGAATATTTGTCACTATGGAGATGTGCAATGGTACATCCCCTTTGGTCATGTTTGTGTCCTGCAGTCATCATTTAATTCAACATTTAATAATTGAGAGTTAGTTTTGTTTCAATCTAGACTCTGCTTCTAAATAGATCTGGAGATTTTCATATTGCTCTTCAATTTGTGTCTTTAGCCAGTTAACGCAGCTGCCTACGCAAGACTATCCCATCACACAAGTATCTAAAACTCACTCTGTTCAAAATGTGAACCAATGATCCATTTTTCTAAATGTGTGTGTTCTGGAATGTCTTCCATTTTTATATTTAGCATAACAATTTCTTGATTTCTTTCTAATCAGAAACTTGAGAGTACCTTTAAATCCTTTTTCTTCGTGACCACCCCCTATATCCAGTCTAGCATTAAGTCCTGTGTTTTCAAACCCATACATTTTTCTCCACCCCCATTGTCATTATTCTAATCCAAACCATCATTGTCTCTCTCCTGAATTCTTGTAAAGTCCTTTTATTTGCTTCCTCCAATTGATTCTCCATGTAGCATCCTAGGAAATGTTTTAACAAACAAATATGATTACTTCCTTCTCTTACTTAAAATCCTTTAATGGCATCTGATTGCCTTTAAAAGAAAGTCCAAAATGCTTCTCATAGTCCACATGACTGCATAACCTCTTCAGCTCCATCTCAGCCTCCTCCAGCCTCTGTTTTCATGAGCTTCACTGAAACTGTTCTTGATATACAAGCATTTCATGCCTCTACTTAGGCTGCTCCCCATGCTCTTCTTGAACCTTCCTCACTGTTCGCCCAGCCAGTATCTACATATCCTCTAGAACTCAACTAAAGCACCACTTCTTCTAGAAACCTACCATGACCCCTAGATTAAGTTAGGTACTTCTTTTGTATGTGCATTCACCTACAACTCCTAACTTTCACTTATATGTTTTATCAGATTTGTGATTATGTAATTGTGTAATAATTTATTTTAGCTTTCCCTGCTATCATGCAAGTTTCTTCCAAGAGGACAAGTATATTTATATATTGCTCACCTCTGTATCTGTAGAATATAGGAGAGTACCTGATAAATAGTGGTGTTCAATTAAAATACTAATTCACTGTATGAATGAATGAATGAATGTCTCTTTTCTGTAAGGGTTTAGTTATTAGTTGAGACTCTGAATTTTTAATTTAGGCTTGGGTGAAAGATTAACATCTCAATGGCCAAGTTGATGGTAATGTCACAGGATCCTTGGGCTGTTGCTTCACCAGGCAGAAACCTGTGTGGCTGGCAGTGTCTTCTGCCTGAGTATTGCTTGTGCCTGCTGGGCTCGTTCCACCCACTGAGCCTGGTAGGCTGCACTTGGCTCGTGCTCCTGGCCTGGATCCCACATCTGCCAAGGGCCAGTGAGGTGCAGAGAGGCAAGGGGTCTGTGAGCGAGTGAGCGTGGGGTCCGGCCACTGCACACAGCCAGGTCCTGGCGCAAGTGCTGGCTCTGTGTAAGGCTGTGGCTGGACGAGATGTACCACACATGGCTTCTGCTCTGGGCATGTGTGTCTGGATGAGGGGAATGTGGTGGCTCCTGGAAGCTTGCAAATGTCAGGAACCACAGAACCCCAAAGAAAGTTTCACAGCCCTGGCTTGGGGAGCCCCTAGGTCTGGGCTCCCCAAAGGGCTGTAGCTCTTCTCTCCATCTTGTTTCCTGCAACATGGTGAAGTAGAGCAGGGGCCAGGGGCCGGGGGCAGGGTTCAGCCCTGTTTGTGTTACAACTCTTTCAGTCCCACCATTTGGCAGGTCCTGAGTTCTTGTCCTGCATCTAGGAAAAAACGAGGTACACAGACAACTGGAGGGTGAGCAAGGTGGAGAGGAGCTTCACTGGATGAGAGAACAGCTCTCAGGAGACCCAGAGTGCGTAGCTCCTTTCTGCAGGCAGGTCATCCTGATGAGTGTCCAGTTCTCAGTGGAGAGGAGGCCCGCAGTGGGTAGCTCTCTGGACCAGGGACTCTACCTGGAACTGGCAGTCTGGCTCCTAGGCTTTGGGCCATCCCTGCATTGAAAGTGGAATTTCACCCGGGACCCGCCCCTTTCTGCTGAGAAGCCTGTCTGCCACCTGCTGCCATCAACATCATCACAGTGTCACAGCACCCAGGCTGTTCGTGGTTCAGGGGTGCCTGTGGGCTTTTGCTGAGCCACCCTTACCCCTGCTCAGTCTCCCTCCCATGCTCGTCAGCACCCAAAGTCTGGAGGGACCCAAGGTGGCAGGGGGCTGGCCTGTCAGTGCCAATGGGAGTGTGTACACACCTAGGCGGGTAGTGACAACACCTGGACTCAGCCACAACTTTGCTCCACCCAGGAGCAGCTGCTGGGAGTAGGGAGAGGACAGGGAGTGGGAGCAGGTACTTCTGAGCCTGTGGGGGCAGGGGTGTTTCCACCTACCCAGCTGCAGCAGGTGTCTTTGCAGCAGCCACTCCGGATGGGCCACTGCTGCCATCAATAACAGGTAAAGCATATTACAGATTATTCTTTTTGGTAAAATTGTTTTCCTTTCACTTGCCTTGGTGAAAAGCTCTTCACACTTGATAACAGCATATATAGGAAAACAATAGGTTCTATTAAGGTTTTTTCAAAATAAGAAGAGGTACAGGCCGGGCGCGGTGGCTCAAGCCTGTAATCCCAGCACTTTGGGAGGCCGAGGCGGGTGGATCACGAGGTCAGGAGATCAAGACCATCCTGGCTAACATGGTGAAACCCCGTCTCTACTAAAAATACAAAAAACTAGCCGGGCGTGGTGGCGGGCGCCTGTAGTCCCAGCTACTCGGAGGCTGAGGCAGGAGAATGGCGTGAACCTGGGAGGCGGAGCTTGCAGTGAGCCGAGATCACGCCACTGCACTCCAGCCTGGGTGACACAGCGCGAGACTCCGTCTCAAAAAAAAAAAAAAAAAAAAAAAAAAAAAAAAAAAGAAGAGGTACTGGGATTCTGAACTTATATTAGTTAATTGCTGAGGTTGGCATATCATTGAAAAGTCACACCTTGCCCTTTTGTTTAGGTGCTGCAGTAACTATGTTTGTGTGTTATTGTGCAGACACATGTTTCAGCTAATCACTGAGAGCCACCACTAAGCAGCTGTCAATGGAAAATGCAGAGCAATCAGATCAAATCAATAAGGATGGCTGAGAGCAATTGCAGAAAGAAGGTGGTACAGACTTCATACTGTCTGACCTGTTTCAGGCCACTGTGTGTTTTTGGCTTAAATACATTTATTGTAACCATTTTGCTACTGGTAAGTATTTCAGGAGTCTTGAAAAAATAGAATATATTTTTTTCTTCCTCATAACTTCTATATTTAGTGCAAAGATCATGAGCTTTGCCATCAGACAGTCCTGGGTTTAAATTCTACTTAGAGATTTTGTAATGCTGAGAACATCGTCATCTTTTAGGAGGCTTTGCCCCTTTTATTACATGGTTATCAAGGTTGAAATAAATAACATGTTCAAAATAATCAGAAAGCTTGGTAAATGTCAGTTTCTCATTCCACACACCATCCCTTGATTTTTTACTTTTTTTTTTCTTTGCCCAAACTCATTTACCTTGGTTTTTCTGATCTGTGGGGCCCTTGGTAACTTTCTTTAATTTCTAAGGTATTGGAAATTAAATTACTTTTGTACTTGAATATTGGGTTACAGATTATCCAGAATTCTATAAATTAGGGAAATTTAAATCTTCTTAAAACACATTAGTAACTAGTAAAAAAATACTATTTCTCTATTTTTACTGATGAAGAGTCTGTTTTGACTGACTAAAAACTTTAGAATCCTTCTTTAACATGCTATATGGCCACAGTTGATCAATTTCCAGTTGAATATTGTAAGCTTAGGTTAACTAAGGTCATCTAGAATCTTATTGATTTAATATGGTGGGAGGGAAATAAATGGCTGAGAGAAAGATGGGCAATTATAATGGAGTCTAGTACAAAGATCATGGGATCTGTAGTCAAATCCTGGGTTAAAGTCACCTTTTGCTCATGTAAACTTGAATAATTTAAAATCCCAAAAACTCAGTTTCTTTATTTATAAAATTGGATACTTAGTATACAATTATACAAAATTAATAAACAGTCATACAAAATAATACCTCCAATTATTTCATTTAATAGTCACAAAAACTTTACCAAAATTGGATACTAGGTATCCAATTTTGGTAAAGTTCTAGTGTCCAATTTTGGTAAAGTTTTTGTGACTATTAAATGAAATAATGCATGTATAAAGTTTATATACTTTATATAGGGAAGGCATTCTAAATACTATGATTTACTTTTTTCACAACAGAAGGTAAAGCACAGTTCCCAATTCAAGCCTTTTTTTTGCATATGCAAAGGAGAGTCTGATGATATATCTGGGAAAGAATATAATGAAAAATAGAGGGCGGAGGAAAGGGGAAGAAAGCAAGCAACATTTTTTCAATTCTTAGAATTTCCTAGGGCATATATATTCTAACTCACGCTTGTCTGGTAGATGCTTGGAGGGAAGGAAGATGACTTTGGATACACGCTTCATCATCACAGTGTCCGGAATTTCTGGATGCCTACCAGAATAAACTGCTTCAGCTTTTTCTGAAGCAGACTTTCCAAGCAAGCAAAGAGGCTCTGTCCCACCCCTCACCCATAAACCTGATGTGGTGTCTATTGAGCTGCTGGGATTGGACAAAAAGATGGATAAACTGGTTCCAAAGATTTTTTCCTGAGATGGGGTCTTGCTATGTTGCCCAGGCTGGTCTCAAACTCATGGACTCAAGTGACCCGCTTGCCTCAGCCTTTCAGTATTACAGGCATGGGCCACTGTGCCCATCTTCTACAAAGCTTTTAAGTGATAGAACAGAGCCTACTTTTAGCCCCATCCCAAGTGGCCCCATGGGACACAGTGGAATTGACTGGGCAGTCATTTGCATAACCAGTTTCTATTCATTGTGGTATCACTCCCTGAATTCTCCTACTCTGGTTACCATTCAGCATTGGTAATTGGGGTAGATGAGATGGGGTAGGTATTTTGGAATGAATGAAAACTGGAAAACAAAAAGGATGATAGATGACTAATACCCTTTTAGCCTTCTGCTTACCTTCAACAACAGTTCACTCATCCTCTCTCAGCTGATAAATTTGCTTTCAATTTCACTGAGCAAACTGGCAATCAGAAGAGGTCCACAAGTTCCCACACCACATCTATTCACCAACTGGGATCCTCACCCTTATACTCACTTTCCTCTTGCTGTAAATGAGGTGTCCGTATTCCTAGTAAGGACAACCTCTTCAATTGTTTATCAGATTCCAGCCTTCTCACATTCTCAGGAATATTACCCCAGAAATGCTACTCTCATGCATCATCAATTTTTTTCTCCAGTTGAATTATTTTCATTCATCTACTTATATGCTATTATTTTAATAATCTCAAATAAACGCTCTCTTTACCTTGTTTTTCCGTGTAGCTTTGCTCCATTTCTTTGCTCTCCTCTACCACAAAACCCCTAAAAAATATGGCATATAGTCTCTACTTCTAGTTCCTCCTTTCTCATTCTCTTTTAAACCCACTCATATTATGTCTTTGTTTCTATCATTTTAGCAAAGGTGCTCTTGTCAACAATGGTTTCAAGTTACTAAATCTAGAGGTCAAATTCTCAATCCCTATTTGCCCCTTCAGCAGCATTCAACCTGATAAATCACGTATTTCCTTTCTTTTTGAAGTGCTTTTTTCACTGGGCTTTCAAGACACCACTCTCTCCTGGTTTTCATCATCCTTATTGATCATTCCTTAGTCTACTGATTCCACTCTACCTCCCTCATTTTAATATTGGAGTGTTCCTCAGCTCAGTACATGATCTTCTTTTCTCTAGTTACACTCATTTCTTTGGTAATCTTATTGAACGTCTTCGTTTTAAGTCCTAATAACACATTAATGATTATCAATCTGGATCTTTCTCATGAAATCCAGACAAATACATGCAACTGCTCTCTTGACATCTGCCCTTGGAGTTTCATGGGTACATTTAATTTATCATGTCTAAAGCAGGTCTCTGAACTTTTCCTGCTTTTCACTTTTCTTCCCCTTTTTAGTTCACATCAAATCAAGTTTCCTTTAGAGTCGTCCATGCTTCTTCTTTCCTTCTCACACCATAAAAAAGTTCAAATAGATTTGCCTTCACAATATAACCATAATCTACCACATCTGTTCACTTCTGCTGTTACTGGCCCAAATCATCATCTGTTACCAGAATTGCTACAGTAGACTCCAAACTGGTTATCCATTTCTACTCTTATCCCTTTCAGTCTCTTGTTAACACAGTGCCCAGAGTCATCTTATTAAATCATAATGCAGATGATGTCAACAACTTCTCATCTCAAATAGAACCAAAGACAAAGTTCTGTTAAGGTCTATAAGGCCCTATATGATGGGTCCTCCATTACCTCTGGACAAAATTCTCTTATATCCTCCCCATTGCTACATTTGATCTTACTACAGTGGCCTTCTTGCTGTTCTTTAGCATGCCAAACACATATCCATCTGAGGATTTTGCACTTCTTTTCCAATTTGTGCCTCAGCATGTGCTACCCAGAAATGCAGGCATAGAGCTTATGTGATGTTTTCAGGGAGCTGAGTCCCAGGGCACAGGTGAGAAGGGCAAGAAGAGTGATGCAGGGAAGGAGGAAGAACCAGGGCAAGGACACGTTATTGAGCCTGCTTCCAGTTACTGCAGTTAGCTGCTCAGTTCACTGGAATACACTCTTGAGCAACTTTGAGTGTTTCTGGGGAACACAAAGGGAGAAGAGCTTATCCAGATGATCTTGTCTTGCATTGGTTGAAGTTTATCCACATGGGCATTGATTTCCATGCACTTCCAACTTGCAAATGTGTGAGTTTAAGTGCCCACGAGTCTATAGTAGTATCAACATGAAGCCCTGAGGCAGAATAAAAGAAGTGAACTCAATCAGAGCCCACACAGAGCTGGAACAAGACACATTGGGATCTCAGAGATAATATAAGAGATGTCGGCTAAACTCTGCCTGGAGTGTTCTTCTCCAGGTGTTGGTATGGCTCACTTTAGCTTTGAACAAAGGTGTTCTTTTCTCAAATGCCATCTTCTCAGTGAGATGTTTTCTCACCTTCCCTTTTAAAATTGTAGTCCCCTATCCCCCTTTACTGCTTTATTTTTCCCATATCACTTTCTAAAATGCCATAAATCTACTTATTTATTTTGTTTATTGCCAGTCTCCTTCGCTAAACTTTAAGCTGCAGGAGAGCTGTGAGTTTGGTGTGACTTATTCATAGTTGTATTCCCAGCCTATCACATAAATAAATACATTCGATAACTACTTTGTTAGTGGATTATTTATGGAAATTATTGAAAGTGAGGTGGTGAGCTTTTGTGTAAACTTTGAATTAGATATATGGAACATGTTAATCAATGAATAGATTATGTGTTTCTTTTGTCAAATAATCAAATATCCCAAGCATTAAAAGATAGGGTGCAGTATTTCTTAGGTGGATTCTAAAGCAAATTATTGAATGAGAAAATACATTAATGTTCACTGATCAACAAGACATTTGTTTACACAGCTTCTTTATTTCTCTAAATTACCTTTTATTGATTGGTTATATTAAGTCTCTATGGAAATAACCACAAGGGTTGGCAACAAACTTATTCTTTGTTCTGCCCTCTCTTGGATGTTAACAGTGGGTCCCTGTGAGTTAGATAGTGATAGCAGAAGGCTTATTAACATCACTTTCTGAGCAAAAGGGAATGTGGAAACAAGAAGGTGAAATGAAAAAAAAATGAGTAAAATTAGATCCCATAAACTTACATAAGAATCATAAATTATAATATATGTTATTAAAAATAGTCATTATTGATCTTCCTTAACTATTAGAATGCTTCCAGAAGTAACAATGTCCTCTGCAATTATAAATGAAGGGAAAGGAAGGAAAGCAAATGGTAGCAATGGCACAGCTATTTTATAATTTTCTTCTAATCATTAGCATTATTTTCTTCAGAGGCCATTATAGAGTACTGATGAGTCATTGATCTAGACATACCCGCATCCTGATTCAATGATTTATTAGGTTATGTGGACTTGGTCAAGTTATTGAACTTGTCTAAGTCTTGATTTTTTTATTTGTGACATAGAGATGATAATATTCAAGCTTAAAGTGTAAATTTTTGATAAATAAATTAGAAAATATAAGGAAAGCACAAATACATAAAAAATATTTGATAAGCTCTGCCTGAAGTTTAGGTCCTCTACTGTTAATGTTTATCAGAAAACAGCAATGTAAAAATAAATGGTAAGAAAAGCATGAAGTAAGAAAGAATAATTTAGATATAACGTTAATAAGACTTTCAAAATAAAAATAATAGTTATATGTAATGATTTCAATTTTATTCATATTAAACATTGAAAGCATTGCAACAGGCTAAACATTGACGGTCATTATGTTTAAGTGTTACACAAATAGAACATATCAGGTGATATATTTGGCCTCCAGTATTTTGGTGTTCCCTTAGCACTTGTATAATTTAGAGAAAGTCTCTTGTCTCCACAAAAGTTAGTGTCCTAGCAGTCTAGAATACCACATTAAACAGTAGAAACGTCATTGAACTCAGCTCACAAAGTAAGAAAATTGGTTAACCAGATGTGCCAATTATCAGTTTATTGCCTCAGCTCTAAATTCGTATTTCACTGCCTGCTTTGTGATAATATAGACTTTAAATCGATTTTCTTTGTTATCTGGCTCAATATTAGATTTTACCAGTGGAAGACTTGGAGGGAATTTAGAGGAAGAAAGCGTCATTTTCTTCCTGGTCCCAGTTTGTTCCTCCTGCTGGGATCTTGCAGCATGGTTTCTCTAGCGCTGAGCTTCTCATTGCGCAGCTCCCGCAGTGCCCAGCTCCTGCAGTACATGGTGCCCAGAAGCACTCATTGACCAACAGTTGCCCCAGGGAGCCCCTTAGATGTTTTGTTCAGCAAGGCACCCATGAAGGGGTACGTCTCTGTGCACAGTTTTCCCTGAACCCTCTTGTGCAACATTGCAACAAATTCTGAGACATTACCTCTCCCTCTGGATGGTTTACTTCAGAGAGTAGATTGCCATCAAGTTCCAATGGCACAGCATCTCAGCACCTTTGCTGACATCCAGTGAGCCATTGTTTTGCTCTCCCCAGTGAAGTATGAATCTCAACCCTTTGGGAAGTTCTTACTTGGATGCTCTACTTAAGCCCTAAGGGTGGGTATTGCTCCTTATTTCTGCTATTCTTATATGCCTTATAGTTCTCCTTACTTCGTGGTGGCCTGCTGAGACCAGCTCGGTTGGGGAGACCCTAACCCAGTGGCACTAGAGGAATTAAAGACACACACACAGAAATATAGAGGTATGGAATGGGAAATCAGGGGTCTCACAGCTTTCAGAGCTCAGAGCCTAGAACAGAGATTTACCCATGTATTTATTAACAGCAAGCCAGTGATAAGCATTGTTTCTATAGATTATAGATTAACTAAAAGTACTTCTTATGGGAAATAAAGGGATGGACAAAAATAAAGGGATGGGTTTTGCTAGTTATCTGCAGCAGGAGCATGTCCTTAAGGCACAGATTGCTCGTGCTGTTGTTTGTGGTTTAAGAACACCTTTAAGCGGTTTTCTGCCCTGGGTGGGCCAGGTGTTCCTTGCCCTCATTCCAGTAAACCCACAACCTTCCAGTGTGGGCATCATGGCCATCATGAACATGTCACAGTGCTGCAGAGATTTTGTTTATGGCCAGTTTTGGGGCCAGTTTAAGGCCAGATTTTGGGGGCCTGTTCCCAACAGTAGCCAATATTCTATTTCTTCAATCCTCTGTTATAGTTAATAATTATATATTAAACTTTTCCTGTTCAAATTAGTGTGGTCTCTGTCTCCTGCTTGTTTCTAAAAGAAACACTAGAGTCTATCTGGTGCTGTATGAGACAATGAGGGAGCAAACATGTTCTGTTTAAATGTCACTCTTTAAATTTGTTAACACAGAGTTCATTCTGTTATATCTCTGGAAGTGCAATGTTTTGAAAAATGGTAAAATTTATTTAAAGAAGGATTAGTGGTCATGTAATCATTCTACCTGGGAAGAGGTCTACAGAAAAATGTAATGAATAGAAGTTGTAGAAAAAATAGACTATTTGAGAAGAGTATACCAAACCATTGTTTTTTAAAGTTACATAAAATGTGAGAATGTTTCTGAAGTCCAGGACTTGTATTTCTTTTTGAATTTATCAGCATTATAAGAAAAAATATTGCAAATAAGTTTTTATATACTAATAATTTAAATTCTATTTCATGCTATTTTGTTTTAAATTAAGTTCGCTGAACAACTAACCTACTGAATTGTAGAAGGATCTATCAAAAGAAAGATGGATGACATATATATTATTTTGTAACACATGGTGAATATTTCAGCATTTCTTTAGGATATATACCAATTTTTAGTGGTCTGAACAGTATCCCCCCAAATCCATGCATACCCTGAATCTCAGAATGTGACCTAGTATGGAAATACAGTAGTTTCCCCTTACCCATAGGAGATATATTCCAAGACACCCAATGGATGCCTGAAACCAGGAATAGTACTGAACACTATACATACTACACACAAATTTATTTTTCCTTCTTTATAATTTCATGGCTAGGAGATGCATTCTTACCATCGATCTTAGCACCCTCATCATACAACTTATTTTTCTTAGAATTTTCACCTTTTTGCTTAAATGAAACACTTTATGGCTTCTCGTTGGCATATATGAATCACCAGCATCCCTACTCTTGTACTTTGGGGCCATTTTTAAAGAAAACAATAAATAACTTGAACATAGGCACTGTGATACCGAGAAAGTCGATCTGATAACCTATCAGATTGGGACAGAGTGAGATTCCTTATGCTACTCGGAATGGCAGGAAATTCAAAACATATGAATTATTTATTTCTGGAATTTTCCGTTTAATATTTCCGGACCACAGTTGACTGTGGGTAACTGAAACCTTAGAAAGTGAAATGGCGGATAAGAGAGGAATGTAGGATTTTTACAGATGTAATTAGTTAAGATGAAGTCATACTGCATTAGGGTGGGCCCTGCATCCAATAACTGGTACCCTTATAAGAAAAGGAGAGGACACAGAGATAAATACCAAGGGGATGATGTAATGATGGCAGCAGAGATTGCAGTAATGCATTGACAAGCCAAAGGATGCTGAGAATTGCCAACAACCACCAAAAGCTGGAGGAGAAGCATGGGATGTTTTTTTTTTTTTTCCTTTGAGCCTCCAGAAATAACCAATACTGTTGACACTTTGATTTCAGACTTTCGGTCTTCAGGCCAGTGACAGAATACGTTTTTGTTCTTTTAAACCATCCAATTTGTTATTGAAGCCTTGGGGAACTAATGTGCAATT